AGCCATTAAATGGTGCCACCTCGCGGGCAATACAAATTCTATTCGAAGTGTATGCAAAATTCCGCACACTTCAACGGCAAGAAAGAGCCATATATTAGCTAATTGCACAATATTTAATGCTGAGGAATTACCCGCGGCTAGCAAAACTCACTGATAATGAAAAATTGCATATTGATTTGGCATTAAAATCGACAAATATGCGATTTTACGCCGCAGGGCTTATATGAATGTGCGCCGTGAGTAACTCAAACTCAAGACAATTTGAAGTGTGGCAGACCGTCGAAAATCAGCACACTTATGATTTAGAAACTCAGATACTTTTAATCAGTGTCAATAGGCAAATTGTGGACGCTGCTGTTATATATAATATCGATGTTGCTTCCGCGTAGCAGCTCGTCCGCAGCTCGTCAGCTCGTACCCGCTAACCCAAAAACATGCAAATCTATGTTCGGCTCGGTCTAATGGATTGCATAAACAAACTTTTTGCTTTGAGTGTTTGCATTAAAAATTACAATAAATTTGTTTTCTATTTACTAAAATTTATTTTATATTAGAAAATGATAAGAAAAAATTATTTTATTGCTTTTTAGGTCAGTTGAGAAGTGAAGTCAATGTGCTTCACGGACTTCTGATTTTTTTCCATTACATTAACATGTTTTGCTCTTAAGATTTTTAGGTTGGACCATTTAAGTATCTCATTTATTATTTTGGCACAATCCAACAATCCAACAATCCATATTCATATGTAGATAGGTCTACTTCCATTGTTATTGCTTAATGGGCTACTGTAAAGTTACTTATATAATTAAAAGCCAGTAGCCATGATCTGCTAAAAATATAAAAAAACCTGAGAAAGAACAATACGAAATTAATGGAGAAGTGTTGATTAATTTCTAGTGGTATTTCGTGGGTGTGATTTCGCCAGTGCTTCAAGAAATGATTCATACATACAAATATCATTTTTTCTTCTAGTTTTGAGAATTTAATTTGCAGAGAAGGTATTAAAGGTTGGCAAATAGACGTAGATGACGAATAGGAACAGCCAACTCATTAGTATACCATTCACGGGTATATTAACTTTGCTACTCAAGTTAAGTTTGTTTCTTCTTTAAATTATTTTTAATTAAATTAATACAAAACACAAAGTATACGTTTCCAGCTTATACATTTTCTTGTATTCATTTTCGAGAAATATAATTTCATTGCTATATGATTTGATTTATATGGAAAATCATAAGTTACTTGTACTTTCTGCGAGTTTTTTCTTTCCAACCAGCATTAGATAATATATTGAAGTTGTTGAAAAATTCTTGCAGTGAATGTTTTAGTCATTGAAATTGAAGTTTCATCAAAAGTTACAGAATTATTTCAATTTTAAAACTATTCAATATGGGACAACAAATGATTCCCAAAGCCAGTCTTATATATATAGCTATTTTTTTTTTTTGACTGTATTCAAAAGTAGGGAACTTACTGTGCGACTAAAGCATATATAATAATAATTGTAATTATCCTCCGTATAATCATAATCAATACTACTATTATTCCGTCAATTAGGGAGCAAGTGGTTCCTCACATATGTGCAAATATTCTGTGACCTTAGTTATGTGATTCTCTCAATATCACTACGTACTTTTGAGCTGCCATTAACTTCTGACAATCGGGTGATCTTCGGGTGATTAAACAATACTTGGTAATTTTCTACCACTTTCCCGTTGTTTTAACTGATTTTAATTAAGCTCTGCAATATACTTTGTTAGCTCAAATTTTCTCTGAATAGTAACTGACTTACTCCTAAGTAACAAATTTATTTTTTCCCAATATAATTAATTTTACCATATCGTCGTTTTAGATTTTATTTAATAAATTAATAATTATTTCAATTGGTTTTTGAGATAATTGCAATTGCTTTTCTCTGCTTTTCTCTATTAATGATAAATTTCTCATTAAATGTACTTTATTACTTTTTAATACTTTAATACTTTAGAAATGCCTACAAAAAGGAAGCATGAAACCTAAGCATCAAATATGGTATTTTCTTTTAAATTTCATTTTTTGTTTTTTTTTTTTTATTCTGAGATAAAAATCAAATTTCTCAATAAACACTTTCCAAAACTGTTGCAGTTGTTAGTTTCCTGGCCGGCATAGCTTACGTATGGAGTTATAGTGCCACATTTCGTTGCAGCAGCGTTTCAAAGGTTTAGCCAGCTGCAGCGCTGCTCCGTTGGACAAACATGCTCCACGTGAAATCTATGGAATTAACATTTTTTGCGTTTCCTCTACAGCTTTTGCCACGCAACTCAACTGCATTTAGGCATCGCCATTACCTACATTCCGATCAATTATCGTGCAGTCAAACACTTTTTTAACTTCTCCCAACCACAGACAAAACTATTCGTAATCATGCGAAACGTTCAAATCTTATAAATCTTTCATATAAATAATTGCCGATACGGAAGACGCAATACGGAGAGAGAACGGCAGTTAATTGTATGCGGGTTGCGGCAGTCTCAATTGATGCTGCGGTTGGAGAGCAACGGTATATTCGCACTTTATTAATATTTAATGTATCTTTAATATACATTTACTGCTTGAACACCACTCGTACGAGTATGTATTAAAAAGCGATCATAAATATATTTTATTTATTCGTTCCTGCAAACACCTTTCAGCGTTTTGCACTTGCTTTGCGCTTGAAGATCCATAACAAAAGCAGGTATGATTGCAGCAACCTGCTCTTTTCTATTTTTCTGTTGGCTAATATTCCTGACTAGTGTTCATTTTGATAGACGTGTGCTTTGAGTGATGCGAAGAAAAATTTTATGGATTTGTCCTAGATGTAGGGCTTAAGCGAATAAAGCCAGTGTATTCCACTGCGCACTGTACGTCGACTGTGGCAGGTAGTTTCCTGCTTCTAAACCGAACCATAGCCAGAAAAGTGTGCTTTTGACACTTTTATGCATCGTATTTCATGTGAATCTTTGAATCCGTTGTTTAGCTCAGTGAGCAGTGAGTTGGAAAAAGGATATTGAGTATTTAAATGCGTTTCGAATGGTTTTACAGTTAGAAACTAAACACAACGTTTAGAACAGAGAACACATACACACGTTCTCCTTTTGTGTGTATGCAGTGCAGTCCATGCGTAGCAAATTCGTTCTCACATTTGCATATAAAAAAAGCTAATTTTATGCTTTCTATGTCATATTTTGAATTTTTGCATAGACGCCTTATACGTCCAATGACTGGAGATATATGTATAATGAAGGTTTACACGCCCACAACTATTCTGTGCAGATTTTAATTTTCCGCTCTTAAGTGTAAATCAATTTCTGTGCAAATAACACTTTGCCACAGCGAAACAGAAGATAAAAGCCAATATTTCAATTTAATGTTTAAAACAATGAGTTTAGATACTGAAGTATAATATTTTAAAACAATTTTAAGTAAATAAAATAATCCCACGTCGTGAAGAGGTTAAAGTTTTGACTTGACTTCGACTTCGACTTCGACTTCGACTCCAACTACGACTTTGACTCTGACTCTGACTCCGTGGCAATTTTCGCAAAGTATTTATTTTCGTTTGGTTATAAATTCCAAAACTGTTAAAGTAAACACTTCTAAGCTATACTTCTCAGTCTTAATTGGCTCTCGTTGATGCTTAAATGTGGCTTAACCGCTATGAAAATCACCGCTCAATTATGCGCAAGCTCAGCTTATTAATTATGCCAGCCTTTCGATTTAAGTGCTTTGATAAAGCAACGTGACTTCCATATGTGCACTTAAACGTATTTGAAGTTATCCTAATGAGTGAAAAGTTATGCTTTAATTGGCATAAGCCAAAATTATGTAAATAATTTCACGAAAGAATTTTTATTTTCTCTCATCGTTTTTGCTAGTAAGCAGCAAAAATTGTGGAATCCCCAAATAAATAAAATCCAACAAAAAAAAAAACCAAAATGAAGTTTAACCGTTTCCCACGAGCGCCTGAAGTCATTAAATTTTAATTTCGTATATTTGGGTTTGTTTTGCTTTTAAGTAAGCAATCATCCAAATTACAATGTGAAAACGGCTATAAATTTAAACATTACATTTTTAATATTATTTAGAACCCTACTGAATACTCTCAAACTGCATTATTTAAAAAACCTGAACGTCAGGTCGATCCACTATGCAAATAACAGTGAGCCTTTTATCGAGGCGGTTCCTCTTTGCTCACACGAGTTAGGTCACAGCTCAATTCAATCTGCCAGTACTTTTTCTCATTTCAAGGTACGAAGGTACCTTGAGCGCAAATAAAGTTCAGAGTATGCTTAATCTCAAATTATGGAATATGAATAATAAGTTTAATAGGTCACCCGTTCCAATCCATGTTATGATCAGCATAGGCTAAGTCTACTTAGCAGTCATATACCATAAAATTTGCCACAAAATTTTGTACGAATAAACTCCTCTTCGGTCTCAGTAGCTGTGTGTTCCGCACATTTTTCTTGTCAGTATAGATCGCGATAACTCGTGTTGTGTTTCTGGAATCTCCGACTCTTAAACGTGAACATTACTAAGATCATGTTCGTATAAAGTATGAGTTCGGAGGTTATAGCAAGTTTCTTAGATGTAAGGAATCTGTCGACTTTCAGCAACTGTTGTTTACGACTTTATCTTCATTATTATCAGCCAGTCCCATTAACCCTATATAGTTAAATGAGTACACTAATTGAAGCTTATGCCCTTGTACACTGTCTATTTAAAAAACTTTGGTTGTTATTAACACAGACTTCGTCTTTTTTAAATAAATCTCAATCCCTTTGTCCCTCAGTCTCTGTCGCTATATTCGATGTATGTATTCAATATATTGTAATTATTATGTCTATATTTTCTGTGTTTTAAATTGCGTTAGAAATATTTCAGTAAGATATCGTACTCTGTTCTATATGCAAAACCTAAGCATTAATTAACATTATTACCCACTTATAATAATAGTCATTTTTATTTTAAATTTTCAGCATACTCTCACCGGTCACAGTGGAAAAGTAATGGCTGCCAAATATTTACAGGAACCAGTAAAAGTAGTTACCGGTAGTCATGATCGCACTTTGAAAATCTGGGATCTGCGTAGTATAGCATGCATTGAGACAAAATTCGCTGGTTCAAGTTGTAATGATCTTGTAACCACCGATAGCCTAGGCTCGACTATTATAAGCGGACATTATGATAAAAAAATACGATTTTGGGATATACGCACCGAAAAGCTAGCAGACGATATTTTGATGCCAGCAAGAATTACTTCGTTAGATTTGTCAAAAGGTAATTTTGAAGACGCATATACTTAATAGATTATATTTAACAATTTCATATTTTTGTGCGTTATAGATTTTAATTACCTCATTTGTTCCATCAGAGATGATACAATACAACTTTTCGATTTACGCAAAAATCAAGTGATTACAACATTTTCGTAAGAATTTCTTTCTATAGAGCAAGTTACTTAACATTTAAATATATATGTATCTGCTTACCAATTTTCTAGCCATGAAAACTTTAAACTAAGCTGTGATCTAGCCAGAGCCTCATTTAATAGCGGCGGTACGAAAATTGCTTGCGGTTCAGCCGATGGCTTAATTTATATATGGAATATAAGTGGACACTTGGAGGCCACACTTAAGGGTCATACGTACGTAGCTATCTTATTGAATGTTGTTTTAGACTTCAGTTGAGACTTATTAACTTTCAATATGGGTGGCATATGTTATACAAACATTTTTGCATTATTAATTTATATTTTTTGTTTCTTTTCTGCATGCTTATATCTCTCAGTTACACGCATAACAAACACACAAGCTCACACATTATCTGTCTATCTTTTTTCGTTCTTTTTTGCTTTCTCTTTCTTTCATATACAAATAACTGCTGATCATAAAAGTTCTGGTTACGGTTTTTTCCACAGTACTGCCGTGAATGCGGTCAGCTGGAGCACCAATTTCAATGCGATCGCTTCTGTCGGTAAAGGAAAGAAATGTATTATATACACGGAATCGTAGCCGAGTGTTGCAATAGCAAATTCCGAGTACATTGCATGCTGAAAGAATGAGTGCAGATATTGCTTCTAAGAAGAACTACAATGAACAAATGTTGGGAGTCGCTGCATCTAATATTTCAGTGTAGATTTTACTAAAAATAAACAGAGATAAAATTTATTTTAATTTAAAATTCTATTGCTGACATTTTAAAGTATTGCAGGATCACTCTAACAAAAAAAAAATATATATATATTTATACTTAAAAACTTGAAATGTTTTGTTTGAAATTATTTTATTGATTCTATAAGTTTTTTAATATACATATATGATTATTATTTTTATTATTATTATTATTATTACTAGTTCTTACTGTCATGAACTAACGTTAATGCAATATGTAAAGTGTATATGTCTTCTATTTGTTTTAAATATTATAACAATCTAAATTTATATATATAGAATAATATTGTTGAAATTTAAACAATTGATGAAATAATAGAGATTTTGTATATTTATTGTATTTTTTTATTATATATAAAAAAGCGACAAGCATCACATTTTATAACATCCTTTTTAAATATATTAGTATAAGCAAAATTGTTGTTTTGTAAGCCATATGAATAAGCGTTTATAGTCCAATATAATTTACACATACTATACTATATTTATAACAAATGAGTTTTAGATACAATATAACGAATACTTTATTAATAAGCTTATATAAAGAATCATATGAAAAATGATATTAATTGTGTTGTAATTACTTTGTTAAATTACAAGTGAACAGTTTTTAAATGAATTTCGCAAAATTGATATTTTATGCTTTCGTTGGCGCAGTTCGACACAAATTGCCATTACGAATATATTTGGTTGTTAGCTCTTGGCAAATAATTTGGTATGTCATTAGCTATGCTTGAAATTCAATTTTCATGTTGATTATTTAGATAATTTTTAAAAGCATCGAAAGAATCAATTAAGCATGACCACGAAAATACTTGCTGGCAACTACGATTTAATAATGTAACCTCTAAGAACTGCAAGACACACTCGTTAGCTTTTGCAAATAAAAATCAATAATAAAACCAGCCAAAACTAATTTGAGTGAAGTATTCTTTTTATAATCTATATGATTGTTTGGTTCACAATTACCTTTCTCTCTTTTTCTTGTTTTAATTATATTAGTGCTATGTCTTCCTCCTGGAACACATCATGCTATCCTCCTGTTTAATTTAGTTTAATGTAATCACCCTATTTTTATTTTCTATTTTTTATTTTTAACCTCCAATCCGTAATTACTGCTAACTACTTACAAGTCATTTAAGAAAGAACCTAATAGAAGAAGATTAGTTAATTTTACAACCACTTTAATAATTTTCTTAATTCTAAAAGAAAATTAGTTAAGCTTTAGGTTTTTTTTATACATTTTATACTAAAATCTAATAGAATTTTGGATTTTAGAACAGTTAAATTTAAGTAAGTGACTTTTTAATATTCGAAATTTATATACCAAAATATTATTTTATTTTTACGTTGTTTTTAATATTTTTAATTAAAAATGGGACATTAAGAATTATGAATATTAACGTTAAGAATTATATAGTAGATAGGTGGATCGATTTCCTAATCATTGTGCGCAGATATATTTTTCTAGGTCAAAGTTAATAATCCATATACATATTCATAATTATTTCCCACTCCTCATTTAGAATATAAACCCTCACCTTTGTTTGCAGTGAAAAATCGCTGAATAATTACATTTATAAATTAAACATACTCTTTCATTCGTACTCTTTCTAAACGTAACTAACATTCTTGATAAGAGTATAAATATATGAATTTAGTTTTCATATTAGAGCATTTTGTTGTGAATGATATGCATTTGTTATTACTAGAATAATTACTAGAATTTTTACAATTACTAGAATAAAATTATACAAGACTAAGCTCATTTTAATCTATGTATTTTCGCGCGTAGGTAGTTAAAAATATGCATTTTCACTGCCAAAGTCATAAATATTAAAACTACAACAGTGAAATATGTGGCCAGATACTGTCCGCATGTTAATTTCTAGATTTAGGCTTAGATTTGATAGTATTATCTTCCGCCTGTGCATTCGCATTGGTTTAGCTTAGCCAGCAACAGCAAAAATATATTAGCTTCGTGATCTAAATTCGTTAACAGATTAAACCTACTTAACTTCGCAATGGATGAAAGCATTTTTGGAACAGAAAACTTTAACTAAAAATATTGTTCGTAGGATTTGAGGTTTATACACTATTACGATTATGAGTTTAAATTTTGAATGAAAATTTTTAGGTATTAATCAAGAGAGAAGTACGTATGGTGAATTAATAAATTTCTAAACAAATAATAATAAATAAATATTTAATAAAATATTACTTTACTCTACTCTACAGTGCTATAAGTAACATGAAGTAATATTTCTTAAAGTAGAATAAGCAATCAAGAAATGAAAGTTACTCAGTTGGATTTTTAAATAACAAATGCTTTTTAATTTCATTACATGGAATAGATTTACATGGAATCAGATTTACATATAAGTATATGTATAGCAAAAATAATTTATTTGAAGTCAGGTAATGAACTTGATAATATATAAAGTAGCAGTACACTGGCAATGACAAAATTCAATATGTAACCCGATAGTTCTGGAGCTCATTACTTGAAATTGTGAATACCACTAATATAAACATTCTTATAACCTAGATTTAAAAGTTCAAAAAATTGTTGCCGATTATAAATCATTGACGCTTCGTCACAGTGATTATTACCGCTATTAAATTATTACTGCAAGTACTGCGGTGAAAATTAAAATGAAATAGGGAATGTTCTTCAGCATTCAATATTAGACAAAAATAAATCACTTCAATTGAAATATATTTGTATCAAAAATACAAATAGTAATATATATAGTATATGATGCCAAAACTGTTGGCCAGAGAAGTGATAAAAGTGCTTAGCTATCCGCGGAGCGCCCTAAGCTGGCTGACCTCATTGATGACGGGACATGGAAGTTATCAAAAAGATAACTCATGCAGAGGAAGACACTTGCAGACTATGTCTAAAAGCTATATAGGAGGACAGCGGTGCAATTATTGTACCAGCACTGGCAAGCAGGAGGAAGACTGTCTAGAGACACCATTGGGTTGCTGATGACTTGCCAGGCAACCTCAACCTAAATGAGTGGCTTACATTAACAAACGATGTAGTTATGCTAACGAAAGTCACTTTAGCTTTAACTCAATAACTTGTGGTCTACTTCGGCTAATCCTTCACTTCAGTGGGTCCACTTATTGAACGGTGCGCTGTTCCAACGTCCCACAATATATATATACTTAATCATGTGAAGATGAATCTTTTATCAATGCTACTACTAATCGATGCTAATTATAAAGGTCTGAATACTAAGCATGTTATAAATTTTAGATTGCACAGTAAAATACTTGTTTAAACATATACGAGTATCTAAGAGTACATAAGATGAAGAATGGAAAAGGCTTGTAAAACTCAACAGGAGACAAAAATTGAACTAGACCTGAGTTAAACATTGTTGCGGTCTGGGAAATTTATATATAAACACAGTCTTAACCAAAATTAATGTTTTAAGAACTAACTACGAGGTGACATATTTTAACAGCTTGCTATGAGTATTGTATTATTTTCTACTTACATTAATATGTAAAGATATAAATTTCAATCTTGGAACAATAAAAGTTGAAAAGAAATTTGAATATATACAGAATTTACATTTACGATAATAAGCCGCAGTAACACTTTCTTCTTGCGTCTTTCGTGTACTTTAACTAGAATCATGCAACTAATTTCACAAATTAATTGCCCAGATTATTTGCATACATTTAAGTGTTAAGCCATAAGATGGTTCAATTAATATACCAGACATGCTCAAGTCCATATCCACGAACATTGGTGAAATTTAAATGCAACTGTCGCTGGGTTGCAGAGCTTGAAGAAATATGAAGCTGCCGTATTCTCACAACGTGATCTGCATTTAAAAGGAAAAAGAAGTTATGAGAAATGTCCGCTGTCGCATAAAATATCGAGTACAACCATGAAAACCACTTGCCTTAGTTTTGATGACGGAAATACTCCACCCAAAGTAATTACGCAAAACCAGTAGTGTCGTTCAAGTAATGATTGTGCCAATGAACATTTTGGCAGTGATAACTTCACGTTTCTATTGAACACAGTGGGAAGTGGAAATATGAAGTCAGTAAAAAGTGCAAAGTGAAATTTATGATTTCTTAAAGAATTTTGGATAACTCTTCATTTTGTATGTAATTCAGAAAGGACTTGTAGTGCTTATATTGTAAGAAAAAATTTCTTTTTGTTTTCAAAAATACTAATAACAACATATATGATCATAAGTATTCTTCTTTTCCATTACATAGCTACATACTCACTCTGTCATACATTAAAATAATACGCCAATTTAGAGACTTCAGCCTTTGTTATTAGTAAAAAATTAATCGTTACCAGCTTGATACTCTTCCATAGCTACACGATCAAACCTCTAGCAAGACTACAGAACGAAGGTTAATCGCACAGCAGAGGGAATGCAACTGGAATCTTAAAATGACCTAAAATGCTGGCTTAAAAAAGTACATGAAATTCAAACTCAACCGAGTTTATGAATTCTTGGCATTGCACTTGGCTAAATATGTATCTCGTTAAAATAGTTGGTTTAAGTTAAAATAAACTAAGAAAACTTCATATATTACCTTATAAAAATGAATATGTTTCTTTTTTTAGGAATTCTGCCAATGTCTTGATCATTGTCCAGATTTTGCTTAATTACGAGCCATAAGCGTGCGATTAGTTGAACTGCTGAGCTGAGTTTCATTTTAAAAAAATGTAAGATGATTCACACGTGTAGCGTGATCATGGGTTAACCTTAGGGATCAAATCACCTATAAAGCTCCCACCTGATTTTGTTTTTTGAGTCATTAAAGGTGTTAGGTTAAAAGCAGCTGTTAAGTTAGGCTCAGCATATGTAAGACAAATAATTTTTAACATGAATTTTATATTTTTACAAGTAGAACTCATTAATTAAGTAATAAATTATTAAATTTCATTCAGTAACTTCAGTGTCATGAATTAAAGTTATTATAAAATTGATTTAAAAATAACTCAACTCAACGTCATTTTCTAAATCCATCAAATCAATGTTAAAAATGTCTTCATTACAAACTGGACTCACGTTTTTCT